CCCCCTCACCCCGATCATACCCCTCCTCTGTCACCCCCTCACCCCGATCATACCCCTCCTCTGTCACCCCCTCACCCCGATCATACCCCTCCTCTGTCACCCCCTCACGGTTTATTTTACAGGGACAATATGGACGCCTTCTTTGAGAGATTCGCCTCCATAGAGCCGGGGGTGACTGAGGAGCCTCCAGGGAACATGACGGAGCAGTGTTACAACGCTCGTTCACACAGCACAGTCCTCCAGGGTCTGCCGTTCGGAGGAGTCCCCACCGTCCTCGCCATCAACTTTCTTGCCTGGCTGGTACGATGCTTGTGTGTGAGAGACATGACGGGGGCCGCTGTCGTCGTATCACGTCCGGTGTGAATGGAGTGTGTGCCGCTGTCGTCGTATCACGTCCGGTGTGAATGGAGTGTGTGCCGCTGTCGTCTTATCACGTCCGGTGTGAATGGAGTGTGTGCCGCTGTCGTCTTATCACGTCCGGTGTGAATGGAGTGTGTGCCGCTGTCGTCGTATCACGTCGGGTGTGAATGGAGTGTGTGCCGCTGTCGTCTTATCACGTCCGGTGTGAATGGAGTGTGTGCCGCTGTCTCATCCAACATCCACTGATGTTGGATGAGAAGACCCGGGCTCACAGTCAGTGATCAGTAGGGACGAGGTTGGGGCTCTGTGCAGGTCACACCATGTCTGTATGGAGCTGTGATTGGGGGAGGGGGATATAGTATTGGGGTGTACGCCGGCTTAATGTCAGTCTGATCTCCCTCACAGGTGTTGCTGCTGGTGTTCTCATGCTTGCGGAAGGCGGCCTGGGACTACGGACGTCTCGCTCTACTCATAGACAATGACAGGTGAGATGTACGCTCCTCGCTCTTCCATTCCTCCCTCTCGCTCCTCGCTCTTCCATTCCTCCCTCTCGCTCCTCGCTCTTCCATTCCTCCCTCTCGCTCTTCCATTCCTCCCTGTCCCTTACCGCACATCTCTCTCTCTCTCTCTTCTCTCTCTCTCTCTCTCTTCTCTCCTCTCTCTTCTCTCTCTTCTCTCTCGCTCTTCTCTCTCTCTTCTCTCTCTCTCTCTTCTCTCTCTCTCTCTCTCTCTCTTCTCTCTCTTCTCTCTCTCTCCTCTCTCTTCTCTCTCTCTCTTCTCTCTTCTCTCTCTCTCTTCTCTCTTCTCTCTCGCTCTTCTCTCGCTCTTTTCTCTCTCTCTTCTCTCTCTTCTCTCTTCTCTCTCGCTCTTCTCTCGCTCTTCTCTCTCTTCTCTCTCGCTCTTCTCTCTCGCTCTTCTCTCGCTCTTCTCTCGCTCTTCTCTCTCTCTCCTCTCTCTCTTCTCTCGCTCTTCTCTCTCGCTCTTCTCTCTCGCTCTTCTCTCTCTTCTCTCTCTCCTCTCGCTCTTCTCTCTCTTCTCTCTTCTCTCTCCTCTCTCTCCTCTCTCTCTCTTCTCTCTCTTCTCTCTCTTCTCTCTCGCTCTCCTCTCTCTTCTCTCTCTCATCTCGCTCTTCTCTCTCTTCTCTCTCTCCTCTCCCTCTCTCTCCTCTCCCTCTCGCTCTCCTCTCTCTTCTCTCTCTCATCTCGCTCTTCTCTCTCTTCTCTCTCTCTCTCTCTTCTCTCTCTTCTCTCTCTCTCTCTCTCTCTCTTCTCTCTCTTCTCTCTCTCTCCTCTCTCTTCTCTCTCTCTCTTCTCTCTTCTCTCACTCTCTTCTCTCTTCTCTCTCGCTCTTCTCTCGCTCTTTTCTCTCTCTCTTCTCTCTCTTCTCTCTTCTCTCTCGCTCTTCTCTCCTCTCTTCTCTCCTCTC